TGACGCGTGGCGGAGTTCTGTATCCATAGTGTAAGCCATTGATACGATAAGAAGAAGAGATAGCTTTTATTTTATTTACTTCTATATATCCTGTATGTACCGGGTATCATCTTTTTTTTGTTATAAAACAGAAGATACGTGATTGTGTATAAATGCCCCTTTATTCCATCTCATTAGATGGATGGATTTGGAAAGGGAATAGTAGTTTTTAAGAAACGTCTGAAGCTGTTTACATTTTCCCCCGTAATAACCTTGTATGACCGCGAATTGTATTGCCCATACGAATGGAAAAAGGAAAAAATATATATAATCTCGTGTCCAGTGGGTCGTGATGCCCAGCATCCGGATACAATCCCGGTTTCGATGAATATTTGTAATGGGGAAATTGCCCTCTTACTTGAAAGCTTATTTGTTATCAAAAAGTTTTGGTTCACTGCCATCCTATTAAATAAGCTAAGTTTGTTATATGCTTCGATTTATTTACGAACGTATTGTTAATTGTGCCCTCACTTTGTTATAATGTTTGATTGTTAATAATGATCAAATATTATTAGCTTAGTTTAAATTTTTAGATTTCGCTGCACTGAATTTACCTTTGTGTTTTTACACCTAACTAGTATAAAATGACTCCTATAGAAACAAAACCAACCCAATTGTAGCTAGGGCGTGAAATGTATAGTAGTAAATATCAAATAAGTTAATGTTGTAATACATGCCGAACATTATTACGTTAGCAACATCAACTAGCATAATTAAAAGCTAATTACGTACCTTAAAAAAATGAGCAATTGAGGTTCTCTCTTTTACACACGTACCTAACACGTAAAACGTTTAATCAATAATGTGTTTTATCAGTAGTTTCCGGATATTCGGATGCTTTTAAGCACAGATTATATAATATTGCTAATACAGATACCCAATCTCCTTAGAAATATCGCACTCAGAATTCCGCTCATTCGGTCGCTTATTTTGATTCTTATCGCTGATCAATAGACGGTGCTAAGTAAACCTGTGACGCTATTGTAAAAATATTCGAAACTGCCAACAGAGGGCAGCTATTATGTATTTGTCAAGGTTATTGCTCTTATTTAAACGTTGATTATACGTATATGTACAATAACATATAATAAAATCGCAAAGAAGCTGAGTCTGCACTTGTAATATTTTAAAGTAAAAGTCAGTGCTAAAACGTTACGTAGTTTCGGGAAGAAACGCCATCTATGCAATTTATTGCAAACTAATAAATCAAGAAGTATAACATTGAGAAACATTCGATTTGTTATCTTTTCAACGTGTCGTTGAAAGTGTCGTCGTAGTTTACCATTTTCATCAGTTATTGCAATTAATTGTAAATGAATTTTAATAAAATCGTGCATTCCTAAAATGTTGTTTAATGATCTGATGATGACCAGGACACATGACAACTAGACTTAATACTGTGAACAGCTAGAACTGTCAAATTTAAACTTAAATGATGATATGTCAACAACATTTTTTTCTTGATGTCCGGTGTTTTTACATTTTCACTTTCTATATGCATAAAATTACAAATAACATTTACAAAGTTCATTTTTCATCGATTTATTACTTAACAATTTCGCCAATGCTGGTGTCGCAGGATTTTTTTCAATACAAAAGCGCATTCCGTGTTATCGAGTAACCGAATTTATTAATTCAATAATTTATTTAAAATATTGTACAATAAATTACATATTGCTTACAGATCAATATTCAAACGCAATGGTTAGGCAAAGAGGATAGTACTCGAGTATAACATCACAGTTGAAAAATAATAATAATAATAATAAATAATAAAGCACACACTCATAGCCCCGCACTAGGGAAACCCAGTATCGCGGGTGCCATGGACAACCACAAATTACACCCAAACTCACGAGAGAAATAAATGTAGGCCATACAAATATTTCTCCCGGCCCGGAAATCGAACCCGGGACCTCTACGTGGCAGTCGAGCATGGTAACCGTTCGGACACGGAGGCAGTTATAGTAATTGATACAGACAAATCGAACAAAATTGAACAATTACGTGGAATTAAATACATTGCTTATGCAGTGTACGGACAACTGCACATCAGACTACACATTTTTTTCGAAATTCGCCTCCAGTGCAACGGAACAAGATACATCAATATGTAGCTTGATGTGATGGCGTGTGTACAGTAGTACATTAAAAAGAATGAAATAGTCACATAATACTGCTCTCTTTGGTCAATGTAGGTAAATAAGCATACGGTTATCCGACCACTATTAGTCACACAAGTTAAACAATCTCTCATTTACTATTGTCTAGACAGTAGGCCCGATCAAGTTTTAATTACCAGAGGGCGTATAAAAATATGTACTAGCATCGTTCCGTGACATGAGCCCACCGTGCATCCGGCGCGTGAACCGATTACATCCCACGGCACCCGACACCCCTTTACACCTGACTTTGACTCTCAATATACCTATGAATACAGCTGTACTATAGTTACAATACTGGTTCACATTTAGCAGATTCTTCGTGGAACGATTGCGCTTGGTACGGTGACTAAATGGATCGCTGGAAGTGCATTAGTGTCATATTTGTGCATTTCAGAAAATTATAAATTTAAAACCTATTATACTATATAAGATCTCAAGGACTTTCCACACTTACTCGAGGCGCAAAGTAAGGCTATCGTAAAAAATGGTATTCAACTACCTATATTACTACTTAAAATAAGGCAAATGCATTTTATCCTTGAGAAAAAATTTCATTACTGTTTGTATTTAGAGCCTCAAATTAGTCTACAGGCTTAGATTAGTTGTGCAAGTGGATTGAAGACTATATACTTACGTATATATATTGCAGATGACAGGTTCCCAGTATCAGTGGCTTGTGGTTTCTGCCTCGTAAACTTCCGGAGTCAAGATACGTCTATTGAACCAAACGGGTTTCCAGTCGGGTCGTTTAGATCGTGTCTCTGGGGAGCAACGTTTTGTATAAGAGGTCGTGGGCTTTTAGATCGACATGTGGAAATTTATAACATTAAACGATAATTATACGTTTATATGTTGGGCAACTCAAGTAATACTACAATTTACCGTTAAATATAATTTATTTATAGACGAACTCAGTGGCTTAGCGGTTAGAACAGTGGGCATTAGATAGCGAGAGGAGATTCTCGGAAGGATCAATTTGAAATTGAGCTTTTCTAAATTGATTCTGTCTGGGTGTTCTGGGTAATGCCCCGGACTTAACTTCGTCGTCTGGTGCTCATAACACAGCGATAATTTCAGACCAGGTAATTGGTGTTGTCTGACACATTATTATTATTTTAAATCCAAGTTAAACACAAACAAAATTAACTTTTGAAAGTCCTACAATTATCGTGTAAACAACAGTGTTAACAACGTGTACAGTATATAAAACGACATCACTTTTATAACGGCTCTACATAATATGTATGGCTTTCTTCAGTCTCGCTGCAGTTCCGTGTCCCGAGAAAAAATCAAGACTCGGTACGATCTAGATAATTCCGCGTAAAACGAGACTTTCGAACTATTTTCAAAGTAGGTTTTTTTAGACGGTCAAAATGTGAGATTTCTCTCTTCTCTCTTTGTTATAGGTATTACTTTTATTTTATTTTGTTTTATAGCTATGACTAGTTATACAGGAGGGAGACCTCCTGATACAAGTATACATACATATGTATGTAATGTTATTTATATTTGAGACGAAATAAAGCATTTTTATTTTTATTTATTTAAAATAAAAATATATTTATAAAAAAATATTTTTTGTAGATGTAGATTATAATAGATTTGTCACAGATGCCGCTACGGCAAAAAAAGTCGTTAAAAACCAAAAACAAATATCTGCAGCAAGCACATAGAAAAAATCGTAAGGTTATCGCTAGTTCGTTCCGTGACTTAGTTTAGCGTCTGGCACGGTTTGCTGGAAGACGTTGCTTGGTTCGAATCCAGTCGGATCGAAGGAATTTTTTCTAAGTGTTCGATCGTTGTATTAATAATTATAACAAACTAGTGGAGTAATTTCACAAAAATAATTTATTAACATGGTGGGCAAACATCGTGACATTCAATAACTTTAAAAAAATATTTATAAAAATTCATTTATTCATTTTTGTTGTGGGCACAGTGTCTATGTTTCTTATAGAGCGTCTAATGTAATTTCAGATAGAGACGATCTGATTTTATTACTACCGTCCTTCAATCTCCACAGTTTATTTCAAACCCCACTGCAATATTGCTATGTCCGTGTACTCAGATTAAAAAAATACTGTTGGTTTCATGTTGGTTTAGTGTTTACATTTAAAATACTGTTTAAATGTCTCAAAGATCTCAACATTTTCAAGACTAAAAACATCAGTCTCGAGTCTAGAAAATGCCCAAAAACCGTGGAGGATGAAAGCTTTAACATGCCCATAATGATAAAAAAGAACAACAGTCAACTGATTACTTTTCTTTATTATAAGTGACGAGGCGAAAAAGTCGTAACCTGGTGGTAAGCGACACGTCCGTCCATAGCAGTAACAGTGCCACTTAAAACTTTAAATCGTAGATTCGAGGGACACTCCCACTTCGCCCGTCATTTAGGCAGGAGATTGTCACAGATTATCCTAAATGGCCCTACGTATGGAGTCTCGCAGGACGCATTCAGGATTGCAGGATGGCTTGCACGCTGTGACTACATTCATAATCCTGCATTACGCGGCGGACGGCCAGGTGGACTGCAATGCAGGATAATGAATGTCCCCTTTAAGTGGCTGTATTTCACTGGAACTCTTTCACAAGGACCTCTATTGCTACTGAAATCATGTGTTAGGAGCGTTTTAGTTTATATACTCTAAATCCTAAGACAAAACTCCTTAGTGGCGTATGCACAGTCAAACTCGTAGAACTGGTAATTTCTGATAGACATGTTTTTATTTATTCGTAGATAACTAAATAAATAATCGAATTTCAGATGCTTCATTATTTTTGTTATTGTTCCAGCCAGCGCAGTCGCTCCTATGAGTCTGACGACCATGAGCGAGGCGCCTGCGAGTGGTGCGAATATGCTCTCATCATCACCCTCGCCACCATCCTGCTGATCGGCGTCTCTGCTTTGACTATCTTCTGGATCTTCTACTACCGAGAAGGCTATGGCTGGGCTGACGATCAACCCGAAAAGCAGTTCAACCTGCACCCTACGCTTATGGTCGCTGGATTTATTACCTTCAGCGGTTTCTGTGAGTATCCTGCATTTAGCTATTAAAAATAGTTTTGCTATTCAGGTGACTAAAGTTTATTTTGAATGGCATTGGCGGTCTCTGAAGGAGATGATTGATATAAAAAGTATCTAAGGCCCTAAAACTAATACTAATGTTTACTACGAAGCGTACCTACAAATTGCGAAGAGAATATATGAATATTAGACAACATCACAAATAAATATTGTTATTATAGAATAGTCTCAAAAGTTTAGTCGGTTCGAAGCTTCATAATCGTAAAAACACCGAAAATCATAACCACTGAAACAATTATCTTCCAATACTGATAGCCTGTCATTATTATATAACACACAAAATATGTGCCTGTTACTTTCTATATGATGTTATAGGATGTCAAGCTGGTAATATCAGTTTTTCATTGTTTACCATTACCACAGACAGGATATGTGCAGGATACAATTTACCTTTCTCACTCGCACCTGTGCAGTGCTACATGTTCTATCTCTCTCATAACTCATTCTCAATCAGTTGCCATGTCACAATAATTGGCGTAATGTAAGAACATGCAACACGATCGTTTTTTCATAGCTCCAATTAGATGCTTAGAGAATGGAAAAAAAATAAAGGATATTAAATGCCATGGTAAAGAACTTGGCGATGGGTAGCCTGTGCAACGCTGCACCTAGATTGTCGGATAAAATGGTCAAGCGTTTCATATGTTCAAAATTATTTTACATTATGGGTCGCTTAACTTGATGGATGCACGTCGCGTCCGACTGGCTTGCCTGGCAATCTTTGGACGACTTCCGGCTGATAGATATCTATCAGCCGGAAGACGTCACGGAAGACTCCAGGTAGATAGAAAATTCTTTATTTGTTAGCACTACATATGATAAAATGATGATGATGATGATGATGATAAGAACCCGAAATGGGCAAACCGAAGGGAATCGTGTTACATGGGCTTTTTACTACTCTACATACCTAGTCTGATAAGATATTGCATACTTAAAGCCTCGGTGCCGAACTGAAGTACTCCCATACGAGTATCGTAATCATTGAAATAGTCCACAGACTATTTACATATAGTGTTCTTCTTTGTTCCTGAATTTAAAAGTACTGACTTTGACTGTTTCCGTTTCCAGCGGTGTTGCTGTACCGCATCTGCCGCTGCTTCCGGCGCATCTACGTGAAGCTGCTGCACGCGATCTTCCACGCGCTTGCGTTCCCGTGCATTGTGATCGGTTTCCTCGCCGTGCTCGACTTCCACAACAAGAAGGGCATCACTAATTTCTACTCGCTCCACAGCTGGATCGGCTTGGTCGCTATGGGACTGTTTGGAATACAGGTGAGAGGCAAGATAATATAAAACTTGTCGAAATATTTTTTTTCCACTTTCTTCTTTTGAAGCATTTGCGACCTATTGGTTGCTATGTATGATGACGGATTTTATTGTAAGTTAGGGCCTGCTATTAGAAATTATAAGTTAAATCATAAAGAAAGAAAAAAATATAGCTAACTGTAACATAGCATGACTGTTTTTACATATCAACTATCGTGTTTTTATTAAAATTACAAAGCTTTGAGGTAGCTTTGCAACACACGCAATCTGTAACTTCTACGTGCTATAGCAACTTAATTGACAAAAAATATCTCTGACCATTTTCAAGTAAGTTTATTGTGACAAGATCTTGCATCAGTACATATTATATGGATAACCTATGTCGTTCGATTACGATAGTAACAACACCTACATAAGTAGTAAAGACGACTCTTGGAGTAATTTTTTAAAAACCAATACGTAACGAGAACATCAATTTTTTGGAGTCGATTGTTTTTTCTATGTCAAGATACTGTAGTAATTTAACGCGATAATTAGCATTGCAAACTACACATAATTTGACATTTTATGTTATTAGAAAACCGTGAGTTTTATTTATTAAAAAAATTAGTTCCTTTTTTAAGCCTTATCTTCGTTAGCCTTTATTCCATGAGGTCAACGACAAGCACAACTAAATAATACCTGTTTACTCTCGCCTTAAAAAGGCGCAAGTTATACCGTTCAGGGAACAAGTCTGCGCGAAGTGAAACGCTTCGTCCGAGTCCTTGGAATATCCACAACAAGGGGGTGGAACCCCAGTCTACGTATCATCCCCCGATGAAGGAAACGGGAAGGCGGAATTAAATCGTGCAATTCCCTTGCGCACTCTCCGTGATATATCATGATATTTATTTGATAAATAAATATTTGAAATATTACTTTAGAATAATCATTTTCAGCGTTTTCTTCATCACAAAAGAACTATGCAAGTTAATGAAACTGTAGCAATTACCCTTAATTTACATGGTGCCTATACCAGCCTATACGTAAGGCAAGTAAACATGTGCATCACAGCACATGTTTCTGCACGACGTGACATTGTAACAGTAAAGTTCAAAAATCCTACCACGATAGACAAGTAATTAATAATTTTCTTAACGATTTCAGTACGCAGTCGGATTCTTCAGCTTCCTTCTCTTGTTGATCTGCAACAAGGGCACGGCCGGCTTCCGCGCTTCCCTCGTTCCTGTGCACGCGGCCTTCGGCATCCTCACGTTCGTGCTAGGCGTCGCTGCTTGCCTTACTGGACTTACTGAGAAGGCACTCTTCACGTTTGGGTATGTACTTAATTTCCTTTTGCTATAAGGGGGTAATATGAGCGTAGTGGCGTAGTACAATATCATAATTTTTTTTGTAGAGAATTTGACAGCTATAAGAATGAGACCAGGCGAGCGAAATTTTTTGAGTGAAATTCGGTTGGGACTCCGGATGAATGTATTTTATTCAAATGCTTTGAAGCGTTTGTACGGGGTGTTTGTGTCATATAATGTAATAGATAATTGGATGATGTTAGAATAAGAAAATGAAGCTGGGTACACGTACTCAATATGAAATGACAGACGTGTGGACAGTTTCATAATAAGAATATCCAGGTCAATTTGTAAAATACTATCACTTGCCAATATATGTTTCCCTCATCTTCTTTCTCTCACCCTTCTCTCCTCCCGCAAAAGCATGTCACACAGTGTGACCGGAGTTTGGTCGTAATTGCGCCCGTGAGTAGGAAGACAACTCACTTTGCGTCAATGAGCAGCACAAATTGGATTTTTATATTAAACCGAGTACAGCGTACCTAAATTTAGTGACAAGATTACGCTCGTCTGACCTCACCCTTGCATTTTATTTATTTTAGTATAGCGGGTTTGTTTTATAAAATCGATTATTGAAAAAAATATTTCGTTGATGCTTTTCTTTGATTTATTTTTCAATAAGTTTTAGTTTTCTTAGAGGTAGTTTCGAAATTACCCATTAAAGGACACTCTATGTATACTAGTCATTGTTATTTGTATGTTTGCACGACAGTACCGTGTGCACAAATCACATGCATGCGCGTGACCACTTTGCTTGCACTGTTGTATCGTGTCCGCTTATGTGAACGTATCCACAGCCCAGAGAGGTACAGCGGGCTTCCGGACGAGGCGGTGATCATCAACGCCATTGGGGTCACCTGCATCGCGATTCTCGCTGTCGTCATGTACATCCTCTCGCGAGACAAATTCCGCGCATCTGAGACTCGCGACGGCCACATAAGAGCTTCCGTAGATTTGTAGAACTCCATTCCATTGTTAGTGACTGAATGAAGATCAGATTAGGTACTTAAAAAAAGTTACAATCAATCCTTAAATAACGCAGAAAATATATATTTTTTTAATCTTTTTAATTAAGTGATTGTTAACAAGTAAATTATTTAAATTAGTAAAACAATTTTGAGATTAGAACGCTGACAATTTAACGGAGAGTATTGCATGTATGGTATGAAATAACAAGTGTGTTAATTAAAATAAGTAAGTAAATATAATGTAATGTTATCTGAAATATCATGTATAATTTCATGGGTACTTTTACGTACAAATAGATAGGGTTATTTGAATAAATTGACTGACAAATTACATGAATTTTAAACAATTTTTAAACTGTCAGAGTTAATTGTTGTAATAATTACGTGGGATTAAATAAATTAATCGCGTAGATTTTTGCACATTTACAAATTAGGAGGCTTTAGTAACGTGGTCTGTATCAGACCAAATACATTGTTTTCTAGGTTTAGTCTTAAGTTTTAAAATTCAATATAAAAATTAATTGAAATTTATACAAATTGGAAAACTTATTATACCTTACATTTAAGTTACGTACACTGTATACTTGTTGCATTAAAAATAAAATTAGGACCACAAGTTGTTGATTTTTCATTTTTAAGTAATTTACTAATTTGATCCATTTTGCTTGTTATTTCGAGTTTGTCTACTGCTTTTTTATTGTGCACAATTTTGTCATCATTTCTTCACTATTCATCAAACCATGAATTATATATATATATATGTTCCAATATAATTAACACAACATCATTCACCCATCACTTTTCAGTAATTAAGAGTACCCCACCTATTTTGCAATTGCATCAGGAGTATGGAAACACCGTGTAAATTAAAGTATGTTACCGGCAAAGTGTATAATGCAATGCATTCTTCAGAATGTCGCACGAGTTCAGGCAATGTATGGAATATTAGTTTTTAGAGGTTATTATACACTTTGTCTAGTCTGTTTATACAGGATGAAGCATACGGTATTTTAAATAATAATAAATTATTATGTAGTGACTTGGAATCTAGCCGTTATGTTGTGTGTTCACCATTTCACCCTGCATAAAGCCTAGGCATATGTATAAAATGCATGACAATGAACAAACGAATCTCAAAGTATTTTTATGGTCACATATCACTGTATGATATTTTGCAAAAATGTATAATGCCAACTTAATGAATAATTTTACTTATTGGTCATATTTTCTTGCAGGAATATCTGGCATGAGATTTGGAAGTATGTCATTTTTTGTACATTATATATTAATAAATTAATTCTTTACATTTGTAAATTGTATTTAAGACGGAAATCTGTCATGCAAAGTTTTCATAATCCCTTTGCGTACTTAGGTAAAACTTAGGTAGAGATTTCGCACATTACCTGAATACAATATATTGCCGGTAACATTTAATTTGATTGCCACAAATTAAATTCATTTAATACCAGTTGCCATTGACACATCATAATTTTTTTAACATTACAATTGACAATTAATATCGGAAATAAATTTAAGTAGATATTTAATATAATATTACTAACCTGGGTGCATGCGGTGTATGTACAGGCAGGAGTTGTCGACCACGCAGTACTGGCAGATGCCGCATGAGGCCATCATCATCAACGCCATCGGCATGTCCGTAGTAGCCGTGGCCGTGGTCGTGCTCTACACCGTGCGCGGCACCGGGGGCTACCGCGTGCGCAAGATCGCAGCGCAGCACCCGAGCTAAGCTGCGCGCGCGTTTCTATAGCTATAACATCGCTTACGTTTGGAGAATAAATCTATAACAACTTCAAAAATGATACGGAACGGAAACTGGATAGAAAAAAAATTGACTTTAACAATGCCAGTCATGTTTAAGTCATCGTTATTGATCACAATTTTGTCTCCAAACGTCAATTTCTACGCCATGTTTTGACCAATTTGTTAATTCGAATGTATGCTTTAAAAATTTTAATAAGGAGAATACCATGATTTTGATTTATGATTAAAATAAATAAAGCATCAATTCGAATAATATTGTCAATCCTCCAGTTTCTCATACATCTAATGCGTAGATTAGCACTCTTATAAACGATGTCTGTATCGATTCTTTCAACTCCAATTTTTGTTTTAATTAGGGGTTTGATCAAATTCATCATAATCAAATATAATTAATTATACGTATTATTTAGCTCAATTTGTTATCTTTAGGTTTTACAAATTCTATCTGAGTAACGTTATTATTGTTCAGACGGTTGTGCGTTGTTCCAAGTGAAAATGTTTGTGAGTTAATTCCGTCTTAGTCAAAATTTATTCGACTGATATTCGCCACGTAGGTCGTAGCTTTCTTTTCATTTTGTATTTTTAAACAATGATAGCCAACGTGTCATGTAAGGGTGTAAGTATCTAAACTAAGAAGGAGAGTTAACCATAAGGATGGAGATTTAATGGTATAGTACCTGCTGAAATATAGCCTCGTTAGCAATATATTACAAATAACGAGAGAAAAGTATGAAAATAAAACCGTGTAAACCTAATTAACCTTCATGATACTCGCTGTTCTGTGGTAATTTTAATGAATAGCAAACTAGCATTAGTCGGCAAAATGCCGCGTACGTAGATGAGCTAAGTACGAAATTGGAATCGATGTAATTTAATAAAATAATCAACTTATTGATATTGTCTGTACGTAAATAAAATATATAACCCACAGTATAATAGCGACAGTACCTTTCAAAAGAAAGAAAATAAGTCAGAGGCCATACACAACTTTTGATACTGGACATCAGTGTCACCTAATTATTTAGGTAAGTTTATGACGAATAGTTAAGACATCTTAGTCGTAGGAACTTGTATATAAATTTTAATCTAATTAAATGTGCGAGTGTTCGATAGCTGTAGTATGTGATCAAGTAGTAGAAGATACAATTTAATTATTTATTGGTCAGTCACAGACATCGGGAATTAGACATAAAAAATAATAATTTTGTCGTAACAAGTATATTTCTGGAGATTTTATTAGATTTTCTAAACACCACATTTTCCCCTATTTGCGTAAGATGTTAATGTTTTATCGTGTCACAACAGCAGTCGCGGTTCGCATAGAGCTGCGGCTGAGTAACCTTAGATTTTTTTGTGTAAGACCAGTGTTCATCCAAGTTGCCAAATTCGGTGTAAATTCATGTGGACATGTTTGTTATAAGCAATTGTATTATGTACTACATACATAAACTTCATGTAGCATGTTTATCAATAAATATAGGATAATGCTCAATGTTTTTACCAGGGGTACATATACTTTCCTTGTGTAGAATTGAGTAAATTTTCTATTAATTAGATAAGACCTAAGTATATTCCAGTTTTGTAAAATTGCATTCCAAAACATTCGAAAGCTTTTAACGTTCTTTTTGATGATATACAATCCGTAATAAGACTGCATTCATAAGTAGGTCCTTTTGTATCGAGTTATTGATTTTGGTAATATTTTCTCTGAAATTTGATAAATTTTAAATATCCCAGTTTTTGTGGATCCCTTTGATACGCTGGGGCCAAGTTTTTATATGAGTACCTATAGAGTCCCCAAATGTACACGACGTCGGGTTTTGTTGTAGTGTTTCAACAAAATACAATGCAATAAATTGTTTGCATTAAGAGAATAATACGGTACCTGCTTATTGATGTTATTACGGTAGCAATTGTTTTCATAATATTGCCTAGAGAGTTGGTTGCAATAACTTTCAATGTTAGTTATTTTCTATATTCGCTATAAGTGTCATTGAAATATAATTTCGTATACTTATTTAACAGCAGTTGTATTGGTTGATATGAATTTTATCACTGTTTTAAATTTTTAAATATTTATACAGCATTCATATGGTACATTAAATACTTGTATTAAATATTAGTTGTTTTATTTATTAATTCCATTCAGAAACAGATTAACAATTTAAAAGAGATATTATAAAAGTTATTCAGCAATTTAAACGACTCAGAGTACTTTTTTCCTGTACAATCAATACCCTGGTGCCTCGTGTGCGTACTAGAGTAGGCACACGATTAAAATGGAATACTTAGTTACATTTCCCCAGTGATCCAAAATTTGGGTGCAAATGGTGCAATTGTTGGGAAGCAATAGCGTTCACTTTGCTTGTGTCGTGACGAATACGTCGCTCCTACGGGCTCTTTTGAGGCGTCGCGAGTGATGCTCGCTGCGTCCGCGTCATCGAGTATATAACCAGTCCGTGTGCACCGCAAACCCTGCACCTTAAGTAAAGCCGGCACTGGGTCGCTAACAGATGTCTGCAGTAGATGAGTGAAGTTGTGATCAGTTGCGTACAGTAGAAAAATCTACTGAAAGTTTTGGCTGCAGTCGATGTAAACGAAAGCTCGAGAATCAAAAGCAAGAAAGTATATATTATGGTTTTTTTGTCTGAAACAACCTATTTTTGCAGTAACGACAAAAAGTAACGATTTTTTTTACTTGAGAGTTTAATTGACATAGGTAATGGTGAAACAAAAACACGGTTGGTGAACTTTTTGTCGACGGTATATTTTCACATTTGCACAATCTTACAATATTGTTTCTGTAATGGCTTCTTTGTTTACAATTTTTATCGCAAATTTCACCGTAGAGATTACGGAACCGTCAGGGATTACGGATGTGAGTTTGTGGATACATTAAAACGGAGGATTTCGACAGTGATGGGTCGGTGATGGGTATGTACACACATCAAAAGTGTCTAGGGATCAAGTGAATATTTTTGAAA